CAGCATATTCTCAAATAAACAATGGATAATAGAAAATTTTTAAAAAATATTCTTTCGTTTTATCTTTTTATATCATTCGTTTTATCTTTATAAATCCAAAATAAAGAACTATTAATGATAGCAATCTTTTTTTTAAAAGAAGTTATTTGATTTAACATTTTTTTTTGATAAATATATTTTGAATAGTTTTAAACTTTATTAAAAATTATTTTTTATTAATGAATAAGTTTTCTTTTATTAAATTTTATATTTTTTATATCTCTATTATATTTCATTTTTCTGCATTAAAGTTTTTTACCAATTTTATTTATATTATATTTATTTTATTTTGAGTTTATTGAAATATTCATACCAATTTTATTTATATTATATTATTTTATTTTATTTGTTATTATATTTGTTATTATATATTGAGTTTATTGAAATATTCATACTATAAAAAAATATTTATTTTAATTAGATAACAAATTTATAACATGTTTGAATATTCTTATAAATTCAAAATGTATTTTTTTTATAATTTATTATATCGTAAATTGTACTAGTGATCAATTATTTTTAAAAATATCTTTAATTAAAATTATATTGTATCAAAGGTCAATTATAGCTCGTTCAACATGTACAAACATTTGATAATAAGCGCAATATAAGCTCTCACAAAGCGCTACATGGTCCCATACGCGTTGTTTTCGCGGTACCATAATGGTGGCACGCCTCTAGTAGCGCGATTAATAAAAGCGATCTATTAAATGGACTATTGTGCTGTCTGGAGATGTGAATGACACCAGGTAGTGTGCCGCCATGGAGAAATTAAATTCTTTATCGCATTGGCGAGATTCGCGCTGAAATAATGCGCGATGCGGATAATGTTCTTACCTATGAGCGATTTGTTTTAAGTTTCTGAAATGATTTAAAAGATGATAAATGAAAGATTTTGATTTTGTTTATTATGCAAGATAATTCAGTTTGAATATTTCATTTAACATATATAAGTATTTTGAAACCAAATTTTTTTAAATTTAAATTTTTAAATTATCTAAATAATATTTTAGAACAATACTTAATCTAATATCTTTGTTTAGATTAAATTTTTTTATGAAGAAATAAAAAGATTAAATTAGAAAACATTTCGATGTTTTAAAGTTTTCTTATAATTTTTTTTTTTAATTGTTTAAAATTTAAATTAGATGTAGAATTTTATTGAAGATATTGAAGACTACAATCAATATTCTTTTAATTTTCTGCTAGAAAATTTAATCTCTCGAGAATATTTTTTAACAATATACACATATATATAATTTTGTAAAGTATCTAATTATGAATAATTATTTCGATTGTAATTATATGTCTGAGATTCTCAATTTCCATAAAAAAAGACTCCTAAATTTATAAATGATTTCATATCAATATATATATTTTCATCTTTCTTTTTATCTTTTTTTATAAATTTCTTATT